GTTAACGGTTTTACAAACTGGTATAAAAGTCAGGAGTCTTTTAGAAAACATCAGTTATCTAAATACCATCTCCTTAGCTCTGACTCATTAAAACAATATCTCGATTGCAAACCTATAGATGTTTTATTGAATCATGAAATGGAAATTATACATACAAAGAAAGAAGCTGATCGTAAACAAAATCGAAAAGTTATGGAGCGATTAATTGACGTTGTAATTTGTTTATCAAAGTGTGGAAAACCATTACGAGGACACGATGAGTCAGAAAAAAGTCTTCAAAAAGGACTTTATCTTGAGATAGTCCAATTATTAACCAAATATGATCCTGTACTAAAAAATCATTTTGAAAATGGTCCAAAAAATGCTAGATATACAAGTAGTTCCATTCAAAATGACTTAATTTTTTCCATTCAAAATGTTGTCAAACGGTCAATAAAAGAAAAATTTAATCAAAAATATATTTCAATCATTGCAGATGAAACGAGTGATGTTGGGCACCATSAACAAATTTCTATAATCTTTCGTTATTTTGATAATTCAACAAAAAGACCAGTTGAAGTATTTGTTGGTTTAAGAAGACTTCATTCTGTCAAAGCAGAATCAATATTTTCTGTTCTTGATGATATAATGATAGAATACAACCAAAACTGGAACTCTGTACTAGCTGTTTGCTTTGATGGGGCATCAACAATGTCTGGTCACATCTCTGGGGTACAAGCTCGTTGTAAACAAAAGAATAACAAAATAATTTATGTACATTGTTATGGMCATTGTTTGAATCTTGCATTAATAGATTCAATTTCAAAAAAAAATGGATCTCAGATTAATAACAGAATTATATTTGACTTCTTAGGAACTGTACAGTTTGCATATACGTTCATTGAAGGTAGCCCATCACGCCATGCAGTTTTAGAAAAAATTTCAAATGAATGTAATCAAAAATTAAAAACATTAAAATCATTGTCTACAACAAGGTGGGCTTGTAGGGCCGAAGCTATTTCTGCTATTAAATTTAATTACAGCATTTTATTAAAAGCATTAGAAGAAATTTGTGATAGTACTCAATTTTGTGAATACAGAGCCAAAGGTYTTGGACTCTTAAGTCAAATGAAAAGTTTTAATTTTGTTTTTGCCTTATTTACAAWGGAGCCTATTTTACAAATAATTCTAAAAGTGAGTTCAGCTCTTCAATCTCCAGTTTTAGATTTAGTATCAGCTGTTGAGTTGATTAAAAATTTGAAATCAGCAATTGTCAGAATAAGAAACAATCCTGAAGAGTATGAAGAAGTTTACAGACAAACAATTGATATGTGCAATAAACATGAAATTACCATTCCAGAGGTWAAAAAAAGAAAAGTTTCTGTGAAAATTGATACAAACAAAACCACTCAATATTTTACAGAAACAATTTATGATGAAATGAAGATCAATGTATTTTTCTTATTGCTAGATGATTTAATTGGAGAAATTGATAAAAGATTTTTAACAAAAACATTAGACATTATAGGTGCTGTAGGTAATCTAATTAAGTTAAATCTGAGTAAATATGATTACACTATGTTAGCAGATTATTTCAAAATAAATGTAACCGAATTAACAACAGAAGTAAAATTATTAAAAGAAGCTGAAAATATTCCATCTGGAACATGTTCACATACTGTCTATAAATGGTTAGATTGGTTGGCCATTTCAAATCGACAAGATGTATTTAACAGTTTCAATCAAGTATTATCAATGTTTGTAGTGATACCCGTAACTAGTTGTGGATGTGAGCGTATTTTTTCAAAAATGACTATTGTTAAGTCTAAGTTAAGGTCCACTATGTCTCAAGATCGCTTAGAATCTCTCTTATTTTTATTTGTGGAGCAGGAATTAACTAACTCAGTKGACATAAATAATGTAATTGAAGAGTTCAAAGTTATGACTCCTAACCAAAGAAGACTAATTTTATAAAATGTACCTATAAAAAATAGTTGTTAATTAYTACCAGTTATATTATATATTTGATACRATTCTTTGTTATAATTATAATAAAATTAAGTTATATATTTAATGCATTTCTTTGTTATTAATGATAATAAAATTAAGATGTTATAGGTATTAAACTTCCAAGAATTTTAAACATAATTGATTAACAATTTAATTGTTGGTAGACGTATGTCCAAAAAAAAATAACTGAGTAACATACTAACATAATTTATATAGAACTTTGCAATAGTTGTAGTTTATTAAATTGAATAATTTTGAAATATAACATGTATATTTTACAGCACGAAAAATAGCATCTAAACTAGGTAATACAAATGCATCTTAATATTATTTAATATTATTAATATTGTGATTTCAAATGGGAAACATATTTTAAACGTGTGATAACTGAGAGGTATTTTGAACTACAGAGGGCYTTTTTGAGGTAAAGGCACACCCTGCTATGAATTCCTAGATTCGCCTATGGGCATACCTACATTTCTTTTTAATCGTAAATTTAAACCATAAGTACCTACCTATTATGATCGATAAAAATATTATTTTAAAATTTTAAATAAGACTTAAAGTAATTAATTTATGCCGAATTTCTCCACATTAATTAATAAGAGACTAAAAGTGACTGACCAAAATAGGTAACAAAGTGAGAAGTGACACTAAACATACTTGCTTTGGTCCTGCAAAAGGTGATTAATTAATAACTGCGTAATTAAGTTTTGAGCATCATCAGAGAGGTATCCATTATTTTTTTTTCCATCAGCTAGTGCACACCGACCATCGTTGGTTGTATGTAATAGATTTAATACAGTCTATAACAACATATTTCATTCATTTAAAAACAAATAGATACCTACAAATTATTTCAGATTTATTAAATGTCATTATTTTACTTCAATTGTCCATTCCATCGGTTTATAAGAACCAAATTTTGTATGAGGAAGTGAGTATGGAGTAGAAATGTTGAGTTCTTTTGAAGAGTTTTTGTCTCGGTTTTTGTTAACTGTAGGAGTACTATATGAAATATCTTCGAGACTTAAACTCTGATCTACACTTTGATCTATACTATGTTCTATACTCTCGTTAACTGGATGAAAATTACTAAGCGTGTGATATTCCTAATAACAAAATGAAAAAAAAAAAAAATACCAATAGTTGGTAGTTACTATTTAAATACACAATTTAGGCCAGTGCTTTATGAAAATAACTAAATTGGCTTATGGTGGCATTATTAAATGCAATACGTAATGCTTAAACAAATAAATTGGGAAGTCGGACTGACACAAGCTCTAACGCCTGTAACCTTAATATTTATAACCTACTTATATAATAAATGTATCTAATAATTAAGCGTTACGTACCTCTATAGTATGTATAAACTGATCCATGTTTTGAAATATTATACCGTAATACCATATATTGAGACTTCAATATCCGTCAGACAACAGGAACAATGTAGGTCGAAATTTCAATAATTTGTACAACAAATGTAAAATGTAAAATATTAACTCGTCAATGGCGAACGGCTAAAAACAAGTAACAGTGTAACACTGAAAAGATTTCGGTAATACAATTTTGAATTATTGAACGAATAATTCGTGCCTCTTGCGGTAGGCGGTCGCCGGTCGAACTAAAGCGGTGATTAAAATACTGAGTGTCTGAGTATTTTTAGTTACATTTGTACGGGTATGTGTAGGAAAAAGACCGTTTGCAGGAAAAACCCAAAATAACCGATTATCTGCTAAATCAAAATATATTTTATTTTTATGCCACGATAACAACACTACAACAGATAATAATTAAAACAACACTTTTAGTGTTATATTAACAACAACAAATAATTAATTTAACACAGTTTAAAATTGTTATACGATCAAACTAGTGAATTGCTAAATTAAGTACATATTTTTCTTATTTTAAGACACTATGGAGTTGTATTGACATAATTAAGTTCAGATTAACAATATAACTTCTTTAAAATTACAATATCACTATTGCTATTTTAAGATAATTTGTTGTTCAGCAAATGTATTTTGAATGTACCCTTTTTTGGCGTTAATTCAACTACTAAATGTACGTAAGTCTACAATTATACTGTCAAGAATGTAACAATTGTTAAAACAACAACAATTTTTCTATGTGTGTGCAAGATTACAATTATAATCATTATTCATTACTTTCGTAAGTTTCGTTTTCAAATTCATTAATTTTGTTTGATCAAAAAAACAGGACAAAAAGCGTCCTGAATGAAGTTTGTCAGGACAACAGGACACAACGCTGAAATAAAGGACAATCCTGTAAAAAACAGGACGTATGGTCACCCTAACCTAACCTAACCTTATTAACCTTTACGATCGATATGACGATGCGTACCGAACATGCATAATAACTGATTAATCGAGAATATACAGTCATTCCTTTCGGAAAAAAAAACTGTTATAACTTGAATACTTTGTAATTATAGCCAGGCACTTCTTTCCCATTAGGCACTTTGGGCATATTCCCAGAGCCCCGCTATCGATGGGGCCCCTTCCCCCCTTAGCTTCTAGAAGGGTATTTCTTCAATAAAAATACAATGTTCAAAATTTCAGGGTTATTTTATTATTATTTTTAAATTTATATTATACTACCTATATACAATGTGAAACGAAAAAAATAAAATAATATACAATAAAAATTACAGATTGTAAATGATGTCTGTCACAAACATTATATTTGAAATGAAGCTTGAATGATTTGTACTTCTTATATCAAGATGATATTCTATATCATCTTATTTTACGCTTACACCGTGTTTACCCAACTTCAAAATTTATGTCATAAAATATTCCATATCTACTAATCGATGTCCTGACAACATAAGTTCATCAGATTTTACATTACAATAAGACAAGAAAATAAATCTTTCGATGAGATATCGTTAATTTACGAGTGAATATCTAATAGATATCGTACAAATTGCTCATAACTAAATATATGAAATATAATATGTTATAAAAGTAATTGTTTGTTTTATTTTTCAAGTGTAGAAAAACTTTTGAGATATCTTATTACTTACAGAGATTTCTACAAACTTATATTCATTTAAATCGTTTTACATAATTTATCATTTAAAATTAGGTTTTTACATAATTAGACACCCAAACATTTCTTCGTTGCCAGCCATCGACAACCGATCACGTTCTTCGTCCACTTGTTTCAATTGCTGCTCCAAATGGTAAATGTCGGTCAGCAGAACGGCCGTGACCATAATTTGGGGTGGAGGTAGTAGCGTACAATTGGAACCATCGGMATCTCCCGTATACACTGTTGTCGGCGACTCTTCCTCGCCCTGCACAGCCGCCAAAGTTAAGGCCACGCGGGGCAAAAGTTTTGCGTAACGCGTCTCTATGGATTTCCGGCTACGGGCTGGAACTCGGTCGAGAACCAACGACTTAATTGATCTCAATATGGACACTCTCATTTTTCTCAGCGCATGACCCCCCTTTTTAAGAGCTTTCTTCGTTGACGACGGCCAGAGGTCAAGGTTGCCGTCCGTTTCCTGTCCCAACGATGACATAACGGAGTAAAGCTTTTTTGAAACGTCAGTGAAAACGCGTGATTGGTTAACTCTTTGCAAAGTAGTTATTGTAATGTTGTGGTCGTTGTTTATCAACAACGTCGTCCGAGATACCAACACGATTCACGAAAGCCAGACAGACGCCCACTCMATAGTAGCTTTTTAAAAACGTTGTTACCTATTTTTTCTATAGTTCATTTTAATAATTTAATTATTTTTGAATARTTGAAAATAGTTTGGTTTTTAATTTGTAGAATATAAAGATTAAAGCATACCTATACATACTGATAAGTAGGTTTTCAAATTGTTTAATACAATATTATAATCAATATGCGTTATGAATTAAATTGTAAAAATTATAAGTAAACTATGCATATTTTTTGTAGCATAAAACATTTATTAAATTGAATTCATGAAACAAACTCAAGTTTGCGATGTCTTTTTAGACATGAAAACGTTCGTTCTGATGTTACTGTGGACACTAGTTAAGTACATAATATTTGAACTAAGAAATTAATATTTTGAAAAATTTCCTTCTTGTATAGCCTTTATGCTTTCAACCCACTTTCAGGATGTTGCCCATTATTGTTCTTAGGTACTGCATGTATTCATTTAATTTTGCTTTAATAATTTGAATGTCAGTACCTATGGGGGTAAAATTGARTAAGTTCAACAAAGTAATTTGAATATGATCCCAAAAACAAACATTGAAATCCTAGAAATAATTTTCCAAAATTAGTATATATAAATAAAAATAAATTTAGCTAGGTGCTATTCTTTAAGTGCATTTTTGTGACATAAAAATGCTCATTCAACTGTTGTGTAAATGAATCAATGTATGGTATAGTTAATGTAACTCTATAATCAGTGTAATTTATACAAGGGTTGGCTCGTTTTGTTCATTTTTTACTAGTACGTTTTATTGATATCTAATATATTAGCCATTTTCTATAGTAATATTATTTTCATTAATTAAATTAAAAAATATATAATATTATAATATATTTGATTATCTTTACCTCAGCTTCTTTAAACAATCGTTTAAACTCTTCATTTATATTTCCACGTACACTTTGAATAGTAGCAACAGTGACTTCAGCTAGATCCACTSCTTCTTTTAATTCAAGATTAACTTTTTGCAAAAGTTTACACAGTGGTAAACCACATGAAAATAAAAGCTAATAAAACAAAATATTTTCATTGTGGTTAAAAATTATTATTAATATTTTATACAAATGCATGACAATACATTTATATTATTTACTTTAATAACTTSGAGTGAAATTAAAAATTCTGAATCCATTGCTTTCATTAATATGTTGGCTTCAATCGAAGTTGTGTCATTCTACTCGTATATTTTTTCTAGTCAATGAACTACATAAGGAAATAACTCTACAAAGTCAATTATAGCCATATATCTTTCTACCCACCGTGTCGCATCACAACTATGTTTAATAAATTTTGATCTTGTATCCAACTATAATATTCACTAATTACCATTCACAATAGTTGATGCAATGTCTTTTCCTGTCAAACTATGAATTTCTAAAAAACGTTCGCATACAAATATATTTTCATCAGAACCAACAACATACGAATATCTAACACATAACGCTAATTGATCTTTGACTGAAATGTCAGTCGTTTCATCTGCTAAAACTGAAAAGCATTTAGYAGAATTGACCTCTTTGATAATTTTCTCTAATACATGATCTCCAGCAGATGAAATAATTTCATTTTGAACGTTTGTACATGTGTACATGTGTATCGGCCATCAGATTCCAAAAAATATTTTTAATGATTCAGATCTTTAGCCTTATACTTCAAAATGTCATGGAAATTACCTTCATTAGGTTCAGAGTCAGCTATAAAATAATGGGAATACAACATCGCTATAAGTAACATAGTTAATTGAAATTTATATTTTTGATTTTAATATTACTTTTATACCCTATAAMCTTCCGGCCAGGTCGATCTACGACTACATGTTATGTGGTTTTTTGCAATCACATATTTAAAGCCTTTAAAGCCTGTTCCCAAATCGATGTCATTTACACC